ATTTCAAGATATTCAATTTTTAGAAAAAAAATGTATTAAAATCTTGAGAAAAGTAAAAGGATTCAATATTTAATTGATTATTTACATGACATGTGCGATTTATGACTGATTTTGATTCTACTGCGTTACTAACGCAGTAAGAGGTATTTATGTATATTTTTACATCTTATATGGTAATTTACGTGGATTGCTTTTAGTGCCGTTTGCAATGAGTAAATTACTTTTTTGTTCATTTCACAATATTTAACTTTTAAAAATATTTTCAAAATTTTCATAAAAATTAGCTTGAATCTGGAGGCTCGCTGCTTTATTGAATTCTGCTTACGCTGACAGTAGCTAGCACTTTCTTGTACAGTCCATGAACAGGCTAAATCAAGCAAAGACTGAAGCATTATCAATTTCGCCATTTTAGACATTTTTCAAGAATTCCCTTTTTTCTCTATATTCCTATTTTATCGCCACATTGGCGTTGTAGCGCACTGTATTTTAACCAGAGATCCTTGAAGAATTGTTCAGTATGTTTTTATTAATGTGTTTATGATACGTTTCTTCTATTTAGATATTCTTCTAGTTGGGTGGTTTCAATATTTCTACTGTAAAATCACACTTAGTATATTTTGCCTGTCTTTTAAATTTATCTTTTGACAGATTTTCTGTGATAATTATGCAGGTTTCATAACCTCTGACCCGCTTTCAAAATCCTATTTTATTTAGTTTTGCCCATTGTTTTATTATTTATGGAACACGATTTTTTTTACTTGGCGACCATGTATCGGTTTTCATGGAAAAGCAATAACTTGTTACATTAAAGATTCCTTGAATATCATCATATGATCACATCCGAAATATTTCTTAATTCGAAATATCTCATTTCAAATTATTTGTTGAAGGTGATAGGGGCGTGGAATGGACTTGCACTAACTAAAATCGTCCACGAACAGGCTCAATCAAACCGAACCTGCAACAATTACAATTTTATTGTTTTGGGCGTTCGTTAGGAGTCCTTTTTAAAATTTATATTTTTAACAAATGCAATTTAATGTGTTGCAACATTTGCAAAAAAAACGTGTCATTTCTGTTTTCTCTTTAGTTTCACTTTTCTAGCTGGACAAAATGAATACAGGTAAACATTTTCTTTGTTGTTGTTTTTTTTGAGCGGGAGGGATTCGGTTTCATTTGTTACTTGTTACGTATATTGTATGTTTTGTTGTAATCCTTTTTACTGTAATTAGTCCCCTACCGGTTTACCGGAGGGGACTTTAGGTTTACCCTCCGTCCGTCTGTCTGTCTGTCTGTCAGTCCGTCCGTCCACAAAACTGGATCCCGCGATAACTTGAAAAGTACTGAAAATATTTTTATGAAACTTGATATATGGATAGATGGCAGTATTTGGATTATGCACGTCTTTTTTTTATTCCTATGTTGAAAATTCTGGTTGCTATGGCAACAAATAGGCTTAAAATATAGCAAATTTTACACGTAAACTGAATCCAGTGATAACGTAAAAAGTACTGGAAATATTTTTATGAAACTTGAAATATGGGTGGATGGCAGTCTGGAGATTATGCACGTCTTTTTTTTCTTCCTGTGTTGAAAATTCTGGTTGCTATGGCAACACATAGACTGAAAATATGGCAAATTTTACTCATACATTGAATCCAGTGATAACTCAAAAAGTACTGGAAATATTTTTATGAAACTTGACATATGGGTAGATGGCAGTCTTGAGATTATGCATATTTTATCTGTTCTCCCTATTTTGAAAAAATATTGGTTGCCTTGTAAAACATGGCAAATATAACATTATTTGTGATTAGTCAAAAAGAGCTGAATTTTTTTTATGAAATTGCATCTTTAATTCAAGAGTTATCTCCTCTTTAAGAATTTTGCTTTAAAACATGTTATATTTTGGTAACAGGGATGTTTCAAATATTAACTTTAGAGTGTCCTTCAGTCTGTCTGTCTGTCTGTCTGTTCATAAAAACTGTTTCCTGTAAAAACTTTTAAAGAACAAATTTACTTAAAATATAGAAAAATTGAAATGTTAGTGAATGGCCAATGGCCCTTCAGAATGTTGATGGGGTCCTAACCGGTAGGGGACTTATGGATTGCTTGCAATACTATGATAATTGCTTGTTTATATTAGTTTACATATTATAACTCTTTAAGTTGTTAAATTACTAATAATACTTGTTTATTAAATACACTGTAGTACACTTTGGTGATTTCTTTTTATACTAATCGCAAATATCCTCTGAATTATCAAAACTTTTTAACATATTCATGGCAATCGTTTACTGTCTTATAATAAATATGAATGTGATTAACCGTACACATGATATGCTTCTTTTGTTATGATTTATTTCTTTCAAATCACCGTTTCAACAATTTACATATGAGACAAACTCTTTAAATTTCGAATTTAATGTGTTTTCCATTGATGACAGTCGAAGAAATTAACCGTCAAAATGACACAATCATACTAAGATGTTAAAAATTAGTTTTGTTTATATTACAGATAAAATGACGTGTCTTCTGGTTTCAATTTACATTTTTGTTGGTAAGTTTTGCTTAATGTTTGTTTCTTGCATTGTCAAAATACTAAGATATATTTTGTGTTTAATACCGGTACTGCAGCATTCATGAGTTTTAAGTTTTAGACGCATGTCATTACAATATGAGATTATTTTAAGTCATCTTATCAAAGTTCTCTATCTCTTGTTATTTCAATTTTTCAAATGCACATTTAAACATTGAACCGTAAAAAAAAAACAAAAGAAAAAAAAAACAACACAACAGCTTGGAAAAGATATAGAATTCTAACATACATTTAAAATGTAACATTTTTAATGAGTACATGCATTGCATTACATTGGTACATTACCTTCATACAAACCACCTCCCATTATGTTATCTCATGTCTTATTTACTCTGAATCTTTATCTAATGCTGAGATTTCTTTTCACTATTGGATACCGGCCTGATAAAATTTTACAAGTCGTTCGGTAGGTTGTAGTATGTGTTCATTCTGAGAACCGCCTATCGATGCAAGACAAATTGATTAAAAAAGGACCATATGCCTCAGAAGTGCTCTTGCTTTTATTTCACGATAACTTTTTATTTTTTGGTATCTGATTACAGTTTGTGAAAAATGCTTGTTTGACACATGAATGGCCTTTTTGGTTTGCTACTTTTGTTCTGTTGGCAAATTGTACAGTCATATTGTATTAGTATTTTTGTATGGAAGTCAATATACTGCTATGTTTACGTTTTGCTACCTTTGCGACACAAGACTGCACGTTTAACCCTATTTTCTTTAGTTGTTAAATATCTTAATTTAATGCTCTAAATTAAAACATTATTAAACAAATGTTTTCCATTTCTAAAGAATTTAAAAAAAAAACGAATTTCCGGGACATAAAGGTGGCTATAAGTTATGGCATCGGGGTATAAGTACATAAGTATGATATTTTTTTCCAGGAATTGCTACTGTTGTATCATCGCAAAGCACCATTAGATGTAGGTGGTGTAACCGGGCAAGCACTTTGTCTGATTGTAACAAACTTATAATTTGTGACGCAACACTCGAGGTTAAGCAAACTTTAATAAAATGTTTGTTGATGAATTGTAAAATATTTATATAAAAAAATTAATGACATTTTCACAATTATCGGATAAGACTAATTGCTCAGTAAATATATTAGATAAATGTACGTATAATAGTATTTTGCATCATAAACAATGTTGTTTTAATCAAAGAATATTGCTTCATTTCAATTTTATTTTGATACGCGTATATACTTCTTTTTCGTCAACAAACTATTTTAGCACAGTTTTTACAATTCAATATATGTTGCAATTAATAGGAATGCTTCATGGACGAATTGTTAACGGACCAACTAACAGTTGTTTATCAAGGCGGCTGCAGATCTAAGGATGTATGTTTCATTATATAGATAAGTAAAATACCTGAAATATATGAGTGAATATTTTTACCTGTCTCAAATTAATTTACAGAAAAGCTAGACCTTCTTTAAATGTAAAAATTACTTCCAGGCTCTTCATATACAAATTTCGATTCCTTTTGTAAATAGCTAAATAGCGTTATTCTTTTCCAAAAGTAAGATATTGCAATTTTATTTAGTTAAGCTTTAGTTTTTTTTAATAAATACTTCTCTCACAGTAACAAATTTTTTTGACAAAACAAATTTTGATTAAAAGACGCACACATTTTTACTCAAGGTTTGTGCCAAAAGTGGAAAAAAACGAAGTGACTTAGTTACATGTTCAAGGTGAGATAAGAAGTTGCATTAAATATTGAGTGACATATCCTATCTATAATATTAAATGGTTTCGCTTGGATATTATTTCAGTTTTGTCAGAGTTATTGCGCCTGACTTGTATTGAGAAGGGGGTATTTAGATTTGCCCTTCTCCGTCTATCCGTCCGTGCTTTTTTATGTTCTGTCGCATTATAGCTCTAAAAGTGCTTAAGCGAAAATCAACAAAATTGACAAGATTACTGATCAGCATGTGAAATTGTGCACCTGGAGTTTCGCTTGTATATTATTTCAATTTTGTCAGAGTTATTGCTTGACTGAATAAAACGTTTGCAATTTTCCATTTTTAATCGCCATACCTCAAAAAGAATTTGACCAAGAGTCACGAAACTTTGCAAGAATATAACTATATTATTCTGCATGTGTATCAGTGGTTTAATTGTGTATTTTTTTTTAGTATTTATAGAAGTATTGTCCTTGACCGTTCCACAACTTGTGTGTCGCGTAGCTCAAACAATTTTTGACCTTGAGTCAGTAGGTCGACAAAACAGTGGATTGTGGGGTTATCTGTGTCTTTATAAACACATTTCTAGTAATTCATAATTTTCTCCAGCTTAACAAAATAAAGTAATGTCTAAGGAAAAATATGCCAAGTTTATGTCTATATCTATCGGTTCCTAAGCACTGGTACCTTGGCACTTTATGGTAGCTTTGTTACTCAACCGTCGCTTTCCCTCGTTGATCTTTGCTTTTTATATCATATTTTAGAGCAAAATGGGTAACTTTCACAGTTACAAAACATTATATGTGCAGCAATAGTTCCTTGTTTTCTATTATTCGTGAAGATAAACAAAAACATCGGTTGAGGAAATTTTGAGTGTGTACCCTATATCCCATTTGTGTTAATGTGCCATATGGAATGCATAAATTAATCATGAAAATGCATTTGTAATACTTTTGTTTGCCTCATGATTAAAACTAAACGGTTATTCATAGAGTACACATTGGGATATTAAGCTACTTTCTTATTGAATTCATCCTTTATAACCGTGTTATGATATATTTCATCAACTGTTATTTAGGTGTTGTGGTTTCGGAGATGATTGTAATAAACGGCTATGCGGTATCAAAGATGGTACGTAAAACTTTCTTAACTGTACAAACTGTTTCCTCTTTAATTTTTCATTATTTAATATAATTATATTATCTTTTTTTGTCGTTCTATATGTATTTTAATTACATGTAAAGTGTTTTTTTTTTATTTCATATCATTCAAATTTCTTACAAATACTGGGATTGTGTTTTTCCCCGGGTCTTCATACTTTGCATGCACACAATTATGTATTTTCACGCTTTATTTTTATTGCCATAAAACGTCGCAGGACATGGTACACACTTCATTGTTTAGGCTTGCAAGACAAAGTACAGTGATTTCGTTTACATGTATCTTTTAACATGTATCGTTTACATGTTTTGGACCTCTATAAATATAATAGAAATTATGAGATAGGGATCATTATTTCTTTCCCTCAGGAAGATTTGAAAACGAATGATATAATATATTATATGTAATGACATTCTTGTTTCATGTTAACTTTGTCAACTACAAAGTATATATTCATTGGACAAAGGTATGTTATAAGCACAATTTTAGGGATAAAAAAGAACTATCCTGCATGAGGTTAGGTTGCTTATGCTAATGCCACCCACTTAAGGGAAAAGATTTAGCCGTGTGTCTTCCCAACTATGTCTTGCTGTCTGTGTGTAGACTAACAAAACAGTGGACTGTTGTTGCATCCGTCTCCTTTGAAAACATGTCTAGTTTAATTTGAAATTTATGAGAAAAACAGTTTTCAAGTGATCACTAAATGTTAGATAAAAAACAATAAAAATGATAATAAACAAATATAATTATTGTCAGGCACGTTAACCAGTAGCCAATGTTACAGTTGTGATAACAGAAATTCGCACGGTTTTGGTGTAACAGATCCAAAATTATGTGTAACCCTTGAAACATGTCAACCAAATGAGGTATTGTTTTTGTTCTATTTCATATCTGCAGTTCAATTCATATAGTGTTTTGTAATTCATTTTAATCAAAAAAAAAATTACTCCAACAATTTAAATGAAGTATATAGCTTTATTAGAGGTAAAAATTTTAGGTTTAAAATGTCTATTTTTTCTAATATGAAATAGTAGAAAGTCAGCATAGGAAGACCATTCATGAAGTATAATTATAATGATTAGGTGTTACAATCGAAACTACTAGACCTCGGGTCTTTCCGACAATCTTCGGGTAGGGACTATGAATTATCATGTTGTGTTTTTGCTTGATTAGGACAAATAAAATGGAACCTGAGGCAATGTAGAGAGTAAGGAATCTGATTTTTAAGTATTTCCTTGTTTATCAGGATGAACATGTTTCATATCTTATTGCTTATTATTTACGATGATTAAAAAAAAACAGCTCCGCTGAGGTAAAAAAAAGCCTAAAATCATAAAAAAATCTGGAAAGGATTATGATGTAATATACTAACAGTTAAAACGAATTGAGTTGATTATTAGCCTAGTTTGAGTGAAAAGCGTTGGCAGCGCTTTTCGTTTTTTAGTCATTTTGCACGATAAAAATAAATATTTTGGGAAAAGGGAGCGAGGGAATGAACACAAGCTTTTTGTCCAGACGAAATGGTATATAAATCTCGAAAAAAAATATTGCAAGTACCTTCATGAGCAAAAACCTCAGTGGAGTTACATAAATGGTTCAATTTTTTATTACATATTTTTATATAACATGTTTCGTCTAAAATCATTTGTTTGTAAATATTTAGGTTTGCTATACTTCTCAAGAAGACTTCGGTGGTAAAGATACGTTTTACTATGGCTGTTTCAATAAAGCCGTAAGTACTATGGAGAGAGAGAGAGTGTGTGTGTGTGTGTGTGCGTGCGTGCGTGCGCGCGCACTTGTGTGCGTGCGCGCGCATGTGTGTGTGTGCGTGTGTGTGTGCTTATACACGGGGAGAATCACATCGTTCGTTAAACAAAAAACAAGATGGCAGATGCAGCCGAAAAGTATGTTTTTTCCTCTTTTTCTCCGAAATTCGTGATGTTCTAGTGTAAAGATACATGTAATAACCTTCTTCACAATTTTCCGGGCATACAGGATTTAATTTCATGATGTTTCATCCCGTACTTCATCTGAAATGCGCATCACTAGATTCGAAGCGAAAATTTTTTCCACCTGTTTGATCGTGATAACGTACATCTTCTTCTTTCAAATTCACTGTTTCTTTTACATATATACGTATTAACTGAAATCACTGACTTTAAAAAGTTGTAATATGTCGTCATCTAAGCATGCATGCCCATTTTGGCTAGATTTACGGTCGGACTTGCCACTAAATGTCACACCATTTCCGCTAAATGTCTCAACCTTCGCTAATTGTCGCAAAATCTTCTGGCAATAAAGTCTGCAATAGTAATAATTATTAATAATCGTCGCCGTTTTCCTTTGCCATTTAATGTCGCAACACTACCATAAAATGTCGCAAGATGTATATTCATGTAGCAATGGTATTAGATAACAATTAATATTGGGAAAATGTTTGTCAATATTTTGATAGTTTGGGTTATAAAAGAATGACACGGCCCATTTGCCGACTTAAAATAAAAAATGCTTTTTAAAGTGGATTGGTCTACAAAGGGCACATGTTCAAGAAACAGTATAAATGTTGATAAAATCAATAGAAACGTTTCATTTGGATATGCTTACACAAAATATTTATAATTGTTTATCTAGTTTTACACGATTCGAGTTTCCGACCACTACACGGTCTTTCGATTGCTTTCTACGCCTTGTGCGAAAAGTTGCGGTTTCGTTGCTATTGGCCAATCAGAAGACTCCTTACAAACTACCGAACAGCTGATTTACAATGGGGAAAACAATCGAATACCGTGGAGATGATTGAAACACTACTTTCGCGTGTTTCAGATGCTACTGACGGTTGTAAGTGGTCCCATGTATGTATTTAGTAATATTACTTAATGAATTCAACTGATTTTGACCCGTACTTGGCTGACAAACATGTATTAGTCTATATATACGTACCGAATCGTTGTGCCGCAATTTTGTCTACCAGGGATTTTTAGCACGAATACGCTCGTTTCCTGATAGATGTTTCATGAACGGGAAGGGCTAGAGACTTGGGGTTGGTCTCATCTGGAAGCTTACTACAAACGTGAAATAGTGATAAAATTGTCTAGACAACTGTTTTCACAATGGCCCGGGAAATGAACCCCTTGCTCGTAGATTCGAATCTGTAGTTTCCGGCCTTCTCTTTACCTATAGTATATTTTTAAGGCTCTAAGGGGTGGTTTTTTATCAATCTGGTCATATTTTCTCCTTGGTCCGATACTCGTGCCTGTGGTTTGGACGTCTGTAACATTCTGAATGTGGCAAAATAGTACATGTACAATGTAACATATAGTATAATACCTGTTATACCGATAAAACCGCTGGTAAACATGCTTGCAGGTGAAAGGCCGACACAAAAAATATGAAAGCATTCTGATCTGAGATTGAATTATGATCCATCTTAAGCTGATATCAGCTCGTATCCACAATACCTGGGCTGCTAGATGAAAAAAAAAATACAAATGTGTTTTATCATCAAGAGGTTTTTTGGCATAAATCATGGCCATCATTTTATAAAATCATTGGCATAAAATTAATGTTGACATAATACCAATTTATAAATTTATATTATTTTAAATTTATATTTCTACAATAAATACCAACATGAATTTAGATATTGCGGAATTTAATGATGGTGTTGTGACATTTAACGGTAAGGAAAATGGCGCTACATTAAACATCATAAATGCGAAATTTAACGGCAAAATAGTTTAAGTCATTTAGCTGCGGTTGTGACAGACAGCGGAATTATCTGACATTTAGCGGCGAGTGCGAAATTTAGCGCTCTTGCGACATATAACGGCACCGGAGAAACCTTTGCCAGACAACTGTAATTCGTAAATTGTGCAATTACACTAACTAGTTGCATCTTTCTGTTAAGTTTTCGCAATACTTCTTCTGAAAGTAAAATATTTTATCTTTGATCAGATTCTGGAATTTACTACATAGTATTGATGCAATTTTAAATTACTAAGCATTGTAGAATGTCGTGACTTCCGGCAACATCAACCTAACCTTTTTTCAGATATGTGATAACTTGATGAACAATGCTTATCAAGACTTTAGATTGTGTGTTTCGAATAAAACAGGACTATCCCCAGGATTCGATCGTGACGCAATATGTGGTAATATCGGACGACGCGCGACGTCAATATGCCACTCTTGTTGTGCTGATGGCGGTTGTAACTATGGCACATGTCATGAACAAAATGGTAACTTAAGTTAGATTAATTATTCAATGCTAATTACCATATATTTTCCTATTATTTCACACCATTTAATTTTAAGCGTATGGCCATGTGATCTTCATATATCAATCAATATAGAATCCAATTTCGTTTTCAAAGAATCCAAAATCAACATAAATTCCTTTTTCCGAGTCCATAACAAATCCGTATCGTACTTGAAGTTACCCTGCTTGTCGGTCGTTGAGGTTTTAGAGCTAACTCTTTTGCATTTTTGAAGCACATTTAAAAAGCCCTTAAAAGTCACCTGACCACAGTGATTAGATTTCGTTTTCAAGAAATGTTGTTTTTTCAATGTGAAAAAATTCTATCAAAATGGTTGTTGTTTTTTCAATGTGAAAAAATTCTATTAAAAAAGTAAAATTCGTAAGAAATAAAAATATTATACACTTTGTTGAGTACAATACAGATCATATTGGCTATTGATTTAACAGCTTTGTTCTCTTCTAACAGAATTCCGATTTATATTCAGCAATGTAAAATAACTCCCTTTACGCATTTAGATATGTTAAACTAGTTTATTAACATTGCACTTATTCATTATCCCTCATGTACAGACTCAATCAAACCGAGTCTGCAATTCTTATTTATTTTGTTGTGATTAATGCTTCTGAGGGATCACTTTGTTTCCAGAATTTTTTATTAATTTAATATTTATTTTGTTTTTGATTTAAAAAATAATATGAAATTAGGCAAAGCCTATGAACGGGGAAGTCGGTAACAAAAATCCTTTCATTTTTCCGTTTTAAAGATGCCACTCGGTATTTCATGCGCCGCTCCTATTTTCACTCGAAACACTCGACGATTATTAACAATCCGAAAAGTTGAGATTTGTTCCTTTATCGGAATACCCACCTAATATCATTGAGAAACATTGAAAATGGCGGCGCCTAACTATAACTAAACCTGAAAATTTCATTGATAGGTATAGAATTCTAGATCTCGTATATATTTTTGAATGTTTTATATTTGATTTTCTTTTAAATATACACGTGTAGTCTATAGCCTGGCAAGCAAAAGCCCGGGCCCGCTTGGCGGTCCCTGCTTTTGACTTCCCGTATAATAACAAAATACCCGAAAATGAAATATCGCTGATCTTACTTAACAACCTTGGCATGTGTCATGCCCACCTTTGAGAGATAAAAGTTAACAACTAGTATTTTATATTAAAGCGACGTTAAAGCTCCTTTTTATGGTGAATAAGGAATATATTTTAAAAGATATGAAACTAAAATGGCCAATGACCAATAACTGATACTGAAAAATATTTATGATACAATATAAAAACTACCCAACGTATCAAAAGACTGTCACTCTTTTAAGAACTGAGCGTTATCTATGCATTCCAAACGATATTATACAAATGTGCGTTATGATTTGTTGTTCATCATGGTAAAATACGAAATTTGACACAATTATGGCAAAATGCCAAGTAGCTTTTATATTTATCTGTATACTGAACAGTTTCACTTGGATGGTCATAATGTCACTTTAAATTGTATGTTTGTCAAATGATATGATAGTCCGATAACCACGGGGGAGGAAGTGTTACACGAAGGATGGAGTTCTTATGATAACTTGTTCAGGAATTCTTGTGATAACTGTCACGGAGTTCGTTAGAAAACATCTGTATATACTATAAAAACACCCTAAGATTGATTATTTTCATCTTTCAAAAATGAGTTTTAGGTGCTAAATTAAACTTTAATAATAAAGCTTGTCTTACATCTTGTATTATGTGTCAAAAACTAATTCACAGGCCATTTTTAATCGCCTCTTGCTTCAAATCTGGTAGTTTTCAGTAAAATTTCCAAATTATTTGCCAATTCACAAGTTTTGACCTGTTTATTTCTGGTCTTCATCCTGCCATACAAAGTAACTTAACTATAATGCAAAATTGCAAACATAAAGCGCCGGCTAACTGATTTATACCCGATTTTTCAAATGTCCCGGAGTTCTTGTGATAACTCTGATGATGTCACAGAGTTCTTATGATAACTTTTGTTATTGCCAGTGTGTTTGTTGTGCTAAATCACAGCACTTTTTAGCATTTTTCATTATTAAATGAGATTATAAATCATTATGAAATGTAGTATGCTCATTCTTTGGGCAAAAAATAGGATATATAACGTTGGTTTTGAGTGAATTTTAGTTCATGAGATATTATTTCTTACCCCCGTTTCTTTTTCATAGTTTTTTTTTTGACACAGATTTCGTAGAATGGAAAAAGGAAATATGTACTGGTTTCCTAGCATTTTCCGGCTCCTATCAGTATTCTGGCCCTTAATCATTTTCATCCTGACATACAGACTATTTTTTCTCAGTTAACCATCTATGTTACTTCATCAATCAAGGTAACATTTGTTTTCTATGTAATACAGCAGTTATACTAGTACAGTGATTAATATGTTTCAAAGTTTTGTCTGTTGTTTTAAATTACATTAGAGAACTTGCGAAACTTACAAGCAACACCTGGGGAATTCTAGTTTGAATGCCCATGCACAATAAGATCCCTTTCTAGGTAAATTACTTCTTTTAAACAATATATTTGAAGACGACACGGAAAAGTTTGGGAAGTTATATCTATTTGAAAAATCCAGCTTAACATTGCTTATTGGTATTGAATCATATTCAAAATAAAAAAGGTCCGAAAAACTGCTAATATGAAATTTTGAGTAAATGTGAGCAAATGTGTTACATCTCGGGCCTTTATTCCATTAAAATGTAAAATAAAAGAGCAACATTAAAACATGGTAATGCTGGACAGGTACCTAACTTGGTTCTGTCAAAATTGGTTCTCTTCGGTAGACAGATTTTTATTTTATTTGTTAATTAAGGCATGCCTACATGTTGTCTGCTTAAGACAGGTGGTTGCTTAAAACATGTGAAACTGAGAACAACGTGTACGTTTTGAGACATTTTTGTTTTATGGTTTAAGGCATTATATACTGCAGAATATCAGTGGCCGCTGGTTCAGTTTTTACTGTAGATGATATCCTATCACCTATTTATCCTTTGCATACACATAACACCAACGTATTATCCACATTTTTATGCAAAGGATGGTCGTACTGCATTTCATAATGATCTACACTCTTATTGAATGATAATAAAAGCTAAGACGTGCCGTGATTTAGCGCAAGAAACACATTGGCAATAACAAAAGTTATCATAAGACTCTGTGACATCATCAGAGTTATCACAAGAACTCCGGGACATTTGAAAAATCGGATATAAATCTGTTAGCCGGTGCTTTATGTTTGCAATTTTGCATTATAATTATATAATTATGTATGGCAAGGATGAAGACCACAAATAAACCGGTCAAAACTTGTGAATTGGCAAGTAATTTGGAAATTTTACTGAAAAACTACCAGAGGCGATGAAAAATAGCCTGTAAATTAGGCTTTAACACCTTATACAAGATGTAAGACAAGCTTAATCATTAAAGTTTATTTTAGCACATTAAACTCATTTTTGAACGATGAAAATAACCATTTTTGACGAGGGTTTTTGTAGTATATACAGATGTTTTCCAACGAACTTCGTGACAGTTATCACAAGAACTCCTGAACAAGTTATCATAAGAACTCCATCCTTCGTGTAACACTTCCTCCCCCGTGATAACATGAACCTTAAACATCAGTAGACTGTTCGACAACTGATTTGTAGTGCAAATAAACTGTTTATGTCACAGTGCTGTCTTATTTTTTCTTTCTTTTATTATTTTAAAGCACGGATCTTCACGCTAGCAGAGAATGGAAAATTTGATATGACGACATTAAAGTCCATTTAGAAAGCGATAGGACCGATGTTAAACGATTTTTATGGAAATAAACGAAATTTACAATCCATTGATGTTTGTTTTACTTTACCTTAAGAACATGTACATGTATCAAATAGAAGAAATTGCCAAATATTGCCCGAGAAAATAGCTATGGCCTGAAAGATATGCTTTTAGCATGCGACGAGGCCATTTTATCTTTCGTTCTGTTTTTGTTCATTTTGGCCGGGTAAGACAGGTGCAAACCCGGATTTTAGCATGGTAAATGTCGGGTGGCGGGCGGGCGGGTAAAAACTTTTCGTAACAGTTTTCTCAGCAACTACTTATCACAGCCTCTTGATATTTGGCATACAGCACTGACACATGGCCCCATACCGTGGGATTCAATTTCAGGTATGTACGCTGCTCATCACTTCCTGTTTATCAACTTAGTCCAATTTTCGACATTTATGGTCAAAGGTAGCAAATATTCGTAACAGTTTTCTAAGCAACTACTTACCACAGCCTCTTAAATTGGTATTTGGCATTCAGCATTGACACGTGGTCCCATACCAGGGGATTCGATTTCAGGTAAGTTGCTCATCCAATTCCTGTTTACCGACTTAGTTAAATTTTCGAAAAAGTATCGTAACATCACAGCATCATGATATTTGGTATACAAATGCAACCCGGCCATTTCTGTCTTTGATCCATTTTTTTAAAATATGATTTATGTTTCTCTCAGATTCTTTTAGAAAATTAATGTTTAAAAATCAATTTTAAGTGGCTGAAAAGCTAAAATCAATAAGATATTGAAACGACGTTGGTAGAACGTCATTATACTGATAATAAGCATGATGATTTGCAAAAACTTAAGTTGGTGAATTTACATAAGGGAATCACGTTTCGCTTATATAAGGACACAAACCACTTTGGTGTTGAGCTAGCTTTTCACTGACAGGGTGTGTGTGCCTTAAAACGTAACAATAAGATATCCAGTATATTCATTACTGTATAGATTTAAAATCAAAACAACCTGACAAAAGTCTTGCATATTTTAACAAAATTGGCTTGTTTAATGCATTTTCAAAATATGTCTAGCCAAAGCTAGGTTCTAACACCTGTTTGTTCTTGGTCAGAATCTCGCTTCTATAGAGATATTGCCCATATACAGTATGGCACAATATTTTATCGCAAAGTTCAATAAGATAGACTAGAAGAATAACTAGTGCGTATAATGCATAACAAATGTATTTGGGCAAACTATTCAGCATTTAGATTGAAGTGATTTTTAATATGACAATATTTACAAGAAAATGGTCGAACCAATGTTTCATGTGGGCGGAGAATAGTAACATTTGTTTACATTTAAAACATTTCAAGGTTAAGCAACTCTTTACACTCAGTTTATTACCGCCTGCACTGTAGCTTATGTTATAAATTAGCCGTGTCACGACAAAAACAACATAATGGGTTTGTGAAGCAAGGATCCAGACAAGCCTGCGCATCCGCGCAGTCTGATCAGGATCCATGCTGTTCGCTATCAGTTTCTCTACTTGTAATAGGGTTGGTAAGCGAACAGCATGGATCCTGATCAGACTGCGCGGATGCGCAGGCTGGTCTGGATCCATGCTGGTTGCAAACCCATTATGTTGGTTTTGTCATGACACGGCTCAAATTATGCCACCGGAGTTTGATATACTGTTAGGTTGAATAGATAGATAGTCATTCATTAATTTGTGTCCAGAGTGGTCTTCTAAAAAATACCGAAAAACACATTTTTTTCTATTTGAACGATATAACAGATATCATAGAGGGTCCTTATTTCTAAAACAGTTTCCTACAAAATAATGTTTTAGTTTAGAAAAGATGAAAAACTGCAATTCCAAGAGTATTTCCATGGGAATGTGTGAGTAAAATTTTATTGCGCTATGTTCACGGAAAACTGATGAAATGGTTGGCTAAATGTGGTAGGGATCGTATACAATATTCACACATTAATACCGGGTATGGCCACCTTGCTTGTGCATGGATCGAGTACTCTCTGGCATTGTCTATGCATAAAACCGACATGTGAGTTGATTTCTGCTTGCAGAATGTTATTTCACTCCTGGATTTAGGCTCGTGTTAGTTCATTGATATATAAAAATTTAAGAAACTCGAATCAACGTCCGATTAGGTTTAGGATGGAGTACCGGTGTCTGAAAAGGCTGATATTGCCAACCCTTGCAAAGGACTCCGGCCGGTAACCTCCGGTGTACAGTCACCGGTGAGGCACCGTTCGGGTTACAGGGGACTTATTTTCTTTCAACATGTTACCAGTGACGCCTACTCACCATTGGAGATACGGTGAAAACCCCTCCGATACCCGACAGAAAACCTTTTATACCTTATATACGTGAATGTAACCGATTTCCATGAGCTTATAGTTTCACAAAATAATTTGCCAATTTGCAATTGACCTATCCGAATGAATCTTCTTTATTTCTTTCTCATTCTATTCAATCATTAATGTTTACTAAAAATAGATCTTTTGAACAATAGCTAGTTGCACTAGCTTAAATTTTGATTTTTTTTCATTCAAAATAAAATTATGTTAAAAATTAGCTCCATTGTTTCAAACAATATTGCAAATACTGTCATAACTTAACTGCATACTACAAATGTATAAAAGAAAACTTTATAAGCTTTATATCTTTCTACTCTAATCCATTTTCCTTCTTGTATTTATTTGTTGTAAATGTATTAATAACATGTTGTATTCATTGTTTGAAATAAACTATTATTGTCATTAAAGTAGCAAAATATAAACAAAACAGTTTTTTGGCTTCCATACAAATGTAGTTCTTAAATACTAAACCATTATAACTGTACTAATTGCCGAAAAACAACAACAGCAAAAAATGGCATAAAATTATCTCTATTGTAGATAGTCGATCCAGCGACTTCAAGAATTCTCGAGACTGCAGAGTTGTTACGATTGTAGTCGATCCCGACACATATCTGGCTCAACAGGCGTGTGTCTTTGGTTTTAAATATCTTAAACGTTATTTTTTTTTCTAAATAATATGTTACTAGTATTTAAATAATTTGAAAAGCATGCATGTGAACATGTTTTCGATCAATTATTTAAACATAAAGAATGTACATATATAAACGATAGATTTCTATAGGTCTACGTGGTATTTTCTCTTAGTGATTTCCTTATAATTATTTTCTATTTCCATTATCGCAGAATAAAAATACTTACTAAAATCAACACACAGAGAGAAAAATCATCATGCATAAACGACCAAAAACTATAATTATTAACTATGGAACAAAAAAGAAATTTTATAAGTCTAAAATTGCTTAATTCACATTTCAGAGTTTGCATGATATATTTGTTGTTTTTATGCTTGTCGTGTTGTCTTAATAAGCTACCTTCGTTAAAACTATTATTCGTTCAAAATTACAAATGCAAATTTGGTGGTTTATTACCTAAATATTTTTTAAAACATCACAATAAAACAATTCTTACGTTTCGCCGCCCATCATGGAAACAAAATATTTTCAGAAGTGGAACGATTTATGTTGATAAATTTCACAAAAGTAAGGATTCGTACTTTGATTTCTAGACTGAATAGTGTCACTTTTGTTGAGATTCAAACGTTTTTGTATATTTTTGAATAAGAGGTTTTCACGGTTGAATTTATTCAAAATAAAATTTGTCACAAATTTTGACACCATCGATAATCTGTCAAAAATGAATTGTGATAAGATTTTGAAATCAGTACATAATGACAGTATGAAAATAATGACAGGTATGAATATTAACATAGCAACTAATATATACACCTGCTAATGCATACGAACTGATAGTATTTCCATAGTAAATTGTCTAGTGTCAAAATAGATTCAGCAGTTCAGGTGACCAAAAATATTTCAGGGAGGAGTCAAAAAATCACCCTTTGCTTACACCAGGGTTACACCAGGGAAGAAGTGAAAAGGTGCAGAGAATCACAACGCATAGAGAACAATTAGTCAGACTTATTACTGTATAAACTATAGAGAGTCAGGGCTTTTTTTCACAGGTTGGGGAAGCAGCCATGCCCTTAATTTTAGGGAAAAATTACAATTATTACATGGCATATTTGCAAAAGTGGGAGAAAAAACTGGATGTACATTCAATTTATGGGGAAAACTGCATGATTTTAAAGAATTTTTCTTTGGGGAAGCAGCCCTATAACAGCCCCTGCTATAGAAAGAAAAAAAGCCCTGAGAGTGATAAACATAGAGGTCTATTCCAGGAGATTGCCGGGTTTAGCGCATTGATGAAGGTGGTGTTGGTAGTTTACCCTTAGAAGAATTTTTTGATTTTCATTTTTCAGATATGACACAGACAAAGTATGGCCAACAGTAAAGTTACACATTCTGCTCAGAGTCAAAGTTCAAGCACTACTGGTAGCCAGATGGGATCAGGTATTCTAAAAATTGTCACTGTTCTCGTCAAGAGTTAGTTCATGAAGGGATCAACTGATCATTTGCATAATCGTTAAAATCATTTTGAAAGTAGAATTTTCAGGTTAATGTATGAAATGGGAAAATGGCCATCTTAATCAGATATTGGACTTGAACTCCCTGTATGGACCCAGTTTTAGGTCGGCCTGCTAAGCTCAATAGGGAGAGCATTGGATTTGTAATGCATGAGTTGCAGATTGGGTCCTCTGGTTAGGCGTAATTTCTTTGTAACAACTGACTTTGGACATTATTAATGTGTCTAATGTTCATTTGTCTCCTACTACTGATTCAAAAATCATGTGGGGTTCGTAGTCTGTCACTTGCAGAGTATTGGTAATTACTCATTATTGTCCAGGAAAGCCAGTTTGGTGGATCGATTGACAAAACAAGATTATATGACTAAAAATTCCTAAAATGGGTTTGAAAACTTAAAAAAACAATTACAATCAAAATCAAAGCATTTAAAGCAGTATGCCTCCTGCTCCAGACTCTTGCTGATTTTCATGAATATTTTAAAAAAATTTGCATATATCATATGTATATATTCAATGTGACCTGTATTTGGAGATTTATGCGGATTAAAATTGCA